TTCACTGGACAATGTTTGGTCCTTGCTTCGCAAACCAATTTTCGCTAGACAACGATTTTGACAGCTCCCTCCGTGCTCGCAAAACGGGTGTTTTCGGGACCTAAGCTTCACAAGACAGCTATTTAAACAGCTGATTGGCGATTCACAAAGTGGCTTTCCTATGGCCGATCTTCACTAGACAACGACGATTCTTCCCCATAGGAACGCATTAAACAGGTTTCAATGCATTCCAATGGGGAAATGCTTTTCGCTAGACACTGATTTCGCTAAACAGCGATTTCAGTGGAACGGATTATCATCATCTAGCGAGGCACCACTGTAGTTCCACCGGAATAGTTCAACTGGAATGCCATCACCTCCACTGGCCTTGTTGTTAGACAAGCTTTCTAAGGCCCACTTGACTTCACTCTCCAGGATGTCTGGCTCAAGGCCAGCAACCACGCTATCTGGGTTGTCCGGAATATCCAAATCTTTCTGGTATAATTCCTCTGTGTATTCTTGCCACCTCTTCTTGATGTCTTCTGCTTCTGTGAGGTCCCTACCATTTTTGTCCTTTATCATGTTCATCTTCGCACAAAGTGTTCCTTTAATATCTCCGATTTTCTTGAACAGAACTCTGATTTTTCCTTTTCTATTATTTTCCTCTTTTTCTTTGCATTGTTCATTTAAGAAGGCCCTCTTGTCTCTCCTTGCTATTCTTTGGAAGTCTGCATTCAGTTTTCTGTAACTTTCCCTATCTCCCTTGCATTTTTCCCCTTCTCTTCTCTGCTATTTGTAAGGCCTCGTTGGACAGCCACTTTGCTTTCTTGTATTTCCTTTTCTTTGGGATGGTTTTTGTTGCTGCCTCCTGTACAATGTTATGAGCCTCTATCCAGAGTTCTTCAGGCACTCTGTCCACCAAATCAAGTTCCTTAATCAAATATTGTTATATAAGCAATTGATTGAAAAAGAAAGGATACAACAGATGATGTTCTTCCTGTACAGAAAAGAAAAAATAATTAGCAAAACTACATTTCAGGATAAAACATTAAAAGCAAAAAGATGCCTGAATATATATTAGTACTGGAAACTATCCGAAAAGGTATGCTGCAGAGACAGAGTGCCAGGAAAGCCTATGCTATACATCAGCGCATAGCAGACCAGTGATACCTTTCTGAATTGTGCATGGTCTCCTTCACCAGGGTACTGAGAAGGGAGTGCCAGAGCTGTTGGTTGGTCACTGTGAACAGTTTCCTTTTCTTTTTTTTTCAGACAAGGCTAGTCATATTCACCTTGACTTGGACTGTGATATTGGGACAGGTCATGTTGATGTAACATTGGCAATCTCTTGCCCTTTTAGCTGGGATTCTTTCAAGGATGTGGACAGAGTACCTGGAAAAGAGGTGCTTTTTTGATCTCTGCTCCTCCTGGCTAACTAAATCTGCTAAGGTGAGACTGATGTCATGGCTAAAGGAAGTACTGTAATAAATGCTTTCTTAATGGTAAGGCTTGTCCTTTACCATCTAAAGAAAGTTCTCATAAAATGATTCTTAAAGAAACACACCCTTGACCCAGAAGTTTTCATTTTATAATCATCATCACCTTAGAACTGTAGAGCTGAAAAGGATCCTATGGATCACTGAGCCCAGCTCCTGCCAAGGAAACAGTGAGGAACTGAACTCTCATCATCTGGCTCTGCAGCGAAATACTAAACAAGTAAGCCATTCTGCAATTCTCATAGGCTAGTCTTGTATTTACCATTTTTTAGCTAAGCTGGTGACCCTGCAACTCCAGACACTCTTGCCTGATATGATTATCTAGCCCTATTTCAATCAGGCTTTTGACTGGAGAGACTGGAGACTGCTTTCGTTGACTCAGCAAAGGCGAAGGGTTTGGATTAGAGATGGGCACAAATTAAGTTGTCCGTGTCCTGGGCAAGTCCTCATCACACCTGCACAGGTGTGCTTGCACGGTGCCTACCTCTCCTGCATGCTTGCACATTCCTTGGGTAATGTACATTTCTCTCCCTGCCAGCCCAGTGCGACTGGCCACTCACCTTTTGCAGCTTGCTCTTCCATCTTCTCTATTAGCTGGCCACACAAAGGCAGTGGGGCAGAGATGCCTCATCTGAGTGGTTGGCTGAAAGAGAAGTGGAAACAGAAAAGCAGGCTGCAAAAGGTGAGTGGCCACATGCTGGGGGACAGCATACAGAAATGCATGCATTGTCCGAGGAATGGGTGAGTGTGCAGGGGAGGTGGTCGCCATGCCTGAATATCTGTGTGGACACGATGACAACTCACTTGGGACAGGGATAACTTAATTCGTGTCCATCTCTATTTTGGATAAGAGGAGTGCAACTTTACTAGTTCCCTCTGAGCCTTCAGTGGCATTCATTGACTATGGTATCCTGTTAGATCACCTGGCCAGGTTACATACTGCTGTTATGTGCTGTCAAGTCACCTTCAACTTCTGGTGACCATATAAATAAGTGACCTCCAAATGTCCTCTCCAAAACAGGCGTGCTCAGCTCTTATAAACTCAAGGTTAGGCACTGGGGGCACTATATTACAGTAGTTCAAATTCTTCCTGTCAGGACATACACAAAAGGTAGTGCTGAGGGAACACTGTTTGATGCCCTAGTTTTTGGTGTCCCCCCGGGCTCCACTTTATTTCCTATATTAATTAAGATTTGTATGAAGCTGCTGGGAATGGTCATTCAGAGGTTTGGAGTGAGGTGCCACCAATTTGCTAATGACATCCAGCTCTACTGCTTTCTGTCCCCAAACACTAAGGAAGCAGTCAGGTTCTTTGATGTGATCTGGGCTTGATAAAGGGTTGGATGAAGGTGAACAAGCTGAAATTAAATCATAACAAGATAGAATAACTGTTTGTCAGTAGAAAATCAAATTCAGGAAAATCAGACTCAGCCTTTTTTCAAAAAGCTGTACTTCCCCTGACTGATCAAGTTCATAGTCTGAGAATGCCCTTTGACTCTGCCCTGTCACTGGACTCCCAGGTGGCAGTGGTGATGAGGAATGCTTTTGCGCAAGCCTGCTTGGTAAGGCAGCTACAACCAATCTTGAATTGATCTGACTTAGCAACAGTCATCAAGGGCAGTTACATCACAGTTTCACTACTGCAATGTACTTGGGGCTGCCTTTGAAGAGGGTCTGGGATCTTCAACTGGTTCACCATACAGTAGCTAGGCTGTTAACTGGTGTATAGTACTGTGATCATATGATCCCAATACTGAAAGACCGTCACTGATTGCCAGTTGCTTACCAGGCCCAATTCAAGGCATTGGTTTTAACCTTTAAAGCCCTAGATGGCTTGGGCCTGGCTACATGGGGAACTGCCTATCTCATTATGAGTATGTCTGGACTCTAATATCTTGAAAGGCCCTTTTAAAAATACCAGCAGTCTGAATAACCCACCTAAAAAGCACATGAAGAGGTCTTCTCTAGTGTGGCTCCCAAATTATGGAATGCGCTTCCTTCTGACTTGTGATATGTTTCCACTCTTACTGATTTTAAGAAGGGAGTAAAACATTATCTTTTTACATTAGCGCATGAGGCTTAGTGTGCCCCACAGTATTTTTAACTGTATTTCAATGGCTTCACAGTGGGACAAGTTTATATTTTTTTATACGATTATATTATTATTTTTAGCTAAATATGGTTTTATGTGTGTTTTTTTCTTTTTAAAAGTTTGCAAGCTGGTCTAAGCACTATCTTTTAATAGAAAGACAGAGTATAAATGTAATAAATAGTGGAAATTTTTTTCTTCTGGTTCTTTTGAGAAAAAAGCATTTCCTTGGATCAACCATGACAGCAGCAGAATTAGAACATACACAGCCTCCTTCAAAGATATAACACAACCCAAGATCTATTTTACTACGCCCTCATCTTGCATTAATGATCCACAAATAATGTTGTGCATGTGTTTCCAATCGATGCCTACACAATGCAATACACTACTCTGTAAAGCTTAAAGGTAAAGGTAAAGGTAAAGATTCCCCTTGACAATTTTTGTCCAGTCGTGTTCGACTCTAGGGGGCGGTGCTCATCCCTGTTTCCAAGCCATACAGCCAGCATTTTGTCCGAAAACAACCTTCCGTGGTCACATGGCCAGTGTGACTTAGACACGGAACACTGTTACCTTCCCACCGAGGTGGTCCCTATTTATCTACTTGCATTTGCATCCTTTTGAACCGCTAGGTTGGCGGGAGCTGGGACGAGCGACGGGCATTCACTCCGTCGCGTGGATTTGATCTTACAACTGCTGGTCTTCTGACCCTGCAGCACAGGCTTCTGCGGTTTAGCCCACAGCGCCACCACATCCCTGAAGGAAAGCTTACTGAACACAATAGACCTTATTTCTGTGTAAACACACACAGAACCACACTGTAAGCAGTTAATGGATTGCCAGACACACACCTTGTGAAAGAATTTAAAGCAAGAAACAACTGAATTAGGCAAGAACTTATAATTAGACAAATGTATCATTTATACGTACTTTTAGTGATTGAAATTGCTCCAAGTGTAATGCAATTATACAGAGCAGTTCTCTGACCCCCTCTAGTGAATGAATCATGCATGCTTTCTAAATTTGCTTACTATTTCTTCACTCTTCTGACAATCTTTCAATAATGCTGAAACACAATACAGTTTTAAATGCAATCCAAAGGTTCCTTTTTAATAGTGAAAAACACTGATTGATGGAGAGACACGACAGCAAGGTGGAACTGTAGTCTATACATTTTGCATCCACTAACATATAAATTAGATTTAATGCATACATATTTAACATATACTATATGTGAATACCGCTTCACGGATTGCTGCCTTGTTGTGGCGAAGGGGCTTGAGTAATTCAGAGAAGCTATGTCATGCAGGGACACCCAAGACCAGAAGGTCATAGTGGAGAGTTCTGACTAACGCGACCCACCTGGAGCAGGACTTGGCAATGCCACTCCAGTATCTTGGCCAAGAAAACTCCATGGACAGAAACAAAGGCTAAAAGATATGACGCTGGAAGACAAGCCCTTCAGGTTGGAAGGCGTCCAACATGCTACTGAGGAAGAACAGAGGACAAGTAAAAGTAGCTCCAGAGCTAATAACTCCATTGTAATGAAGTGGTTGGGCCAAACCCGAAAGAACACTCAGCTGCGGACACGCGTAGAAGTGAAAGGAAAGTCCGATGCCGCAAAGAAAAATACTGCATAGTAAATTCCTATATAAGATATAGGAACTTTGGTAAGCTGGATGTGGTCCAACAGGGGAGGGCAAGAATGAACGCTGACATCCTGGGCGTCAGTGAACTAAAATGGATGGGACTAGGCGAATTCAATTAAGACAATTATCATTTCTACTATTGTGGCAAGAATCCCGTAGAAGAAATGGAGTAGCCCTCATAGTCAACAAAAGAGTGGGAAAAGCTGTACTGGGATATAATCTCAAAAATGATAGAATGATTTGAGGCACTGGAAGTCAGGAGGGCCTGGCGTGCTCTGGTCCATGGGGTCACGAAGAGTCGGACATGACTTAATAACTAAACAACATGTGGCGGATATCAATTTTAAATACAATGTATACCATTTTAATTAGCACATACATTAAGTATAATGTATGTATTTATTAGAGCTGTATAACAGCATTGAAGGAGACTGCATATTCTATTGATAAGTACAGGTACATTATCTTCAGCTGACAGATTTATTGCTCACTAGCTAACTCTTACATAAGAGTTCTGCTAGTTCATGGAAATGATCAATACTGTGGGAAACTATGAAATTTCTGTGAGTACTATTATAGGTGTGAACTCTATTATTCAATATATATTCCTACTAAAGCCTCATTATATTAACAGAAACTTATCTAGATATAACTATTATTGGTGAAATACCCATGACAGTGGAGTTAGCTAGATGGATCACTAAGTCAGACCACAGAATTTGAGAGTTCAATTCCCCACTGTGCCTCCCAGGAAAATAGGCAGCTTGTGTGGCCATGGGCAAACTACACAATCCCATGGCACTCCTATAATAAAGTACTGGGAACTGGTAAACAACTTCTGAGAACTTCATAATTAGAAAATCCTATGAAGGATTGCTGTAAACTGAAATTGACTTGACAGCAGGCAATTACCATTGATAATAGTAATAAATAAAACTACAGAATGATTCTAGAGAGCTCTCTGAACTATCAGTAACTGCTTCTGCCTATGTATTGCTGTGACTCATGCTTTATCTCATTCCATTCCAGAGCATCCAATTCTTAAGTAAAACTTTTCAGGCAGTTAAGGGAAATGATAAAAACCAGGTGCCCTGGATTGTATGAAAGATTGTAAAGTCATTAGTGCAAAACCTTTACTGGAAGCACCCTACAGCATCATTTAGCTAGCTATCTTCTCTTTAGATGGTCATACATCTTTGACAAGTAAAGCATAAAGGTAGAATTTTGCTTGCTGACTGAGATAATAAGAATACAACCTTCTCTTTCTTCTGAGGATAGGAAGGCTGCAAACAGAGAAAAACCCTGTTATGAGAGTGGTCAAGTGTTCCATTCAGGAACGGAAATATTCTGGTCTGAGAAGTACCTGTTGCCCTTCAACCTACAGCACCTAAGTCCATGCACAGTCAGAGACACAACTCCAGTAAGAATTTCAACATCCATAATATCTATTTTGGTTTAATTTATACGAAAGCATCTGGCAGTAGAAAGTAGTCGGCATATTAAACAGTGGCATGGCTACTGGAAAGTCTTATCGACTTGACTGCAGCTTATGTACAGAAAATTGTGTATATACAGCTGCTGCTTAAAACTAGCAAAAAAAAGAGTATGAGGCAAAGTGTACCCATCCCGATATCACTCTTTCACGAGTCTGTGACCATGCCAGCAAGCAACAATCTAGGATCGGTGTCGCCATTCTGCTAACTCTGGAACATGGTCGGCCTGAACATAAACACTGGATGATACAGTATCTCCTTTCTTTTCTAGGCGACTGTTAATTAAGGGGAGGCAGAAAGGCGACCAGAGAAACTTCACTCGGATTCAATCCTCAGCCTCACAGTCCGAAAGCGATACACAGGCTCACCAAGGCAGTGACAAATACTGTACGCTTTACCCATCACTTACAGTATTACGTCTGAAACTTTCTATCTGGAAGACATACGAGGAGTGCAGTTTCATCCCTGCATACTGGGGAAGAAATCTCATTTAACCCGGCGAGGAGTTTAGTAGTTTTGTTTGTTTCGAAACATAATTATGAACTGTTGTTATGGCAATTTATCATCACTAAAGGCCAACGCGGCAATCCTAATCCTGTTGATTTGATACCGAGGATTAAGAATGACATCGTAAAAACTAAGAGCCCCAACTCAGCTACATGAATATACTGTACGTCGGTATCCGCAGCAACAGCGCTTCGAGCCCAGCAAGCTCACCTCGCCTAACGGCCGCCATTTTCCCACTGCTCCCTCACGCCCCGCCCCGCCTCAATTTCTCCAGACTCCCGACAGCCCTTGCGCAGCCTCACTCGGGGCTTCGGGAACCATCGCACAGCGCCGTCCGTTGCTTTTAGCGCGGCCGGGCAGGATCGCAAGACCGACTTCGTCTTTCGCTTCTTCGGAACCGTTCGGGCTGCCTCGGACCGAGAGGCGGGATTCAGCAGGCCTTCGGTCCTGCTCGGTCCTTAGCCTCTCCGCCGGGTTCGGTCGTAACCGGAAGGACTCGGATCTCTTCGGCAAGCCCCGTCGGCCATCGCTTTAGGAACCATGGGTAACCCAGACCTGTTCGGACAACTTCGCGAGCTTCCGGTCCAGTCTCAGGTCACCTCTGCGTGATCGGAAAAGATCGGGCCAGATCGGCAACTGCTCGGGAATACCCGGGTGAGACCGAAGAGGGCTCGTGGGGGGGAAGGGCTGTCTAGGTTAGGCTGGCCATCGGGAGGACTCGGAAAATATCGGAGAAGGCCGTAGATAGTCGAGTGTCCCCATTCGGACTCCCTCAAGGTGGAGCTCGGGTGAGATCGGAGAATAACTCTCGCTCGGACGGGCTCGGCTAGCCTGACGGGCTCCCTCCAGTCCCCATCCCCACCCCCACCCCAGCCGCTAAGGCTACTGCG